GCATGATTCTATCATTGCAGTATCCTTACTCGAAGTCTGTTCGGTAACTGAGTATACTTCGGTAACTCGCCGTTTAGTTATCTCCAGAATTTTATCTGCAGAGACAGCTAAGTCATCCATAAGAACACCCAGAAGTGTCACAAGTACAGTCTGAACTGACTGTGGCAGTTTGGATAAAAAGAGTTGTTTGAACAGTCCTTCATCGAACTGACTTTGACCAATAATCTCTCTCATTCTTGCCAGCATGCTCACGGCTGACTGATCTCCTGACTCGATGTTACGAAATAATTCATCCAGACGCTGTCGATCCATGAGAACTGAGGAGGGATGCTTTGAACAACTCGTACGGGTTACTTACCTCTGGACTCGACATCTGCAGACTTACGCACCTGCTGAATTCCCGCGGTAGGGCATGAATAACTGCAAGGAACTGTGAACGTTGATCGGTTATGCCATGCTCACAAAAATCAGACTCAGCTATCTGAAACCACGTTTCAGCATTATCTGGCCAATATGGTACGAGCTGAATTGTTTTGGCGGTTGAGCGAATACGATTAACCTTGGGGCTAGGATCACTCATGACGAAATGTATGCCGATAACAAATATAGTACAAGAACAAACACAAAAAGGAACGAACTCACCGGGTTTATCTGTGTGTTTATTAAAGAGGAAGTTCGTGGTTGGGCTCACCAGTTTGGAGGCTGACGGCATTGACGCTCCCGAATAGTACAAAGTATACTAACGCAAGATCTTATACCAACAACTTCTATAGTGTTCGCTCTTCGAGTACCAAGGATAGAGCAAAAGACCAGATTTAGTCGTCCAAAGTACGTAATATATTTCGGGACCAAATCGAGGGTTGAAGTGAATGCTTAGCTAGCTAGTGATCGTGCACGCACGTGACACGACGGAGTACCAAATGGTGGGGATGCTTGACCGGAAGTCTTCAGCTAAACAAGTCGACTTAAACAGTGAGGGTCAGCATCCAATGTTGAGTGATGATTGCTGTGGTCAATAATTTTGGGGAATTATTTACCGCTACACTAGTAACCAGGGAAAGCGGGTAATACTAGCGAAACACAGAGGGACATTCATCGCCCAGTACAGTCCAATAGGAAATGGAAGCTGTTAGGATGAGCGACTCATCACCATTAACCGTAAAGTCATTATAAATGCAATCAATCATATTTTGATTATTCATCTATGATTTAAATTTCTATTGATGCGTTAACGATAAAACACTCGGTATTTAATAATAATAGTATATTCTCATTTTTTACATGAGGGACGCCAGTTTACAGGCATCATCAATATGATAAATTACATATACGATTAGTAAGCATATTTAATAATAGTAATTTAATAAAATACATTTTTCCCTACCTGTGTAGGACACACCAATTGTACAGGCATGGATAAGTATTATTTAAATTACATAAATTTGGTTCATGGTAAAATTATAAGGTTGCAGTCATTTTGTCTATGGGAACAATATGATAACTAGTCATTTAATGGAGCACATCAAGAAATATAGAAATATTGTCTTTGCATTAACAAAACAAAAAAAAACAAAGTATGTTTTGGATGGATTACAAATACTTGGGAAAAAATAAAGCTTGAAGTAATTCCTCCATATAACTTCGGTGTGTACGGTATCGAGTCTTATTCTTGATTTATATCCAAATTTGATAATAATTTAAAATAAGCAATACACTTGTATACTTTTGTCAGCATTTTCTTCGTAACATCACAAGTGAATAGTACTCAATGTAGACTAATAATAATGACAGTTTATATTTTCTTGTAAACGGGTGTTTTCAAGAAATGCAAGCTATTTTTGCAGACAAGATCATTTATGTTGTAAGTTACAATCGTGAAGTATTATAAATCAATACTTTTTTATTGGTATAAAGGTATATTTCACAACTGTAATCCAGGTTGCGTCGTTGGTGAAGGCTAAAGTTGTTCTCACATTTGTTTCAATTCAGTCTGACTTCTGGATCAATTTGGGGGGGGGGAGGGGAATATTTCCATGTATTCAGTTGGCTACAGAGTCGTAACTGGAGGCTCATTCTAGTCAAGTTAGACAACAACCATCAAAAAATAAATACTCCTTTAAAACAGAAAACCTCCACAGCTTAAATAAGACGTATTCCCTTCTTCATCATTCGTCCCCCTGCATTTCCAAATCACTAACTACCTGTTGAGTGACCAAGTGTTTACTGTACATCATGTGAGGTTAAAAAACCCTAGAGCAGTCTCCCTATAGGATCGATTTAACTATGGATGTCGTTTCGATATACCTCCATTTTAGGGCCAAGTAGTAGGTGTGCAATTTTTTCTCTTATCTACTTCAAACTTGGCCTTGGCGACGGCGATTAAGCCATTAGACGGACCGTCACTCTGAATTTCCATTGAACATTTTTATTCACAACATGGAAATATCATCGTGGCTGTGTGTGGCACGATTATAAACAGCAGGACAGAATCGTTAGCTCAGCATTCTAGGGATAATAATTCTGCCTCCTGAGGATATTTTACCGCTGGTCATTGTTAACGAAGTTCCTTTGTGAAAGTCATATGAGACGCATCGTATTTCATATCCCCCTGAACTACACTATGGGTTATTGGCTACAGATTGACTAGAGGAGCCCGGCCATAACGTTGTTTTTAGTTTAGGCCAACAGGGAAACGATCTATAACTCGTTCAAACAATACAACCGACTAGAGCCCTAGCTATTTCCACAATGTGAAGGAATTGTCGAAACAATAAACTATTTTAACTCTAATCTAGCTCATGCAATCAGCTAACAGAGTACTTATTCCATCTGAAGTAAACTAGCAGCTTCCGTCAACAATGGACATTTGGATCAATTAACTTGTCTGGAAATGGACCAATCAGAGATGTCTCGTAGATTGATAGACTGATAACCAATGTATTTATCCCCTATAACACTTAAGTCATTGGTCCGTGTATGTATATTATTGACGAATGTGTAAATATACTTTTCCGACTCATTTCGTTATGTAATTTCAGTCAAACAGCGGACTATGAAATGAGGTACCCATTGCATTACGATGGCGGGTGACAAACGACACTGATCATCATATCTGTTCCTAGCTCGGGCTTGTCTATATCTTCTTCGGGCTTTATGAATTCTGATGTGGTTGTTTTCGGATCATTTAATTTTCACGAGGAAGGACCAGTCCTATATTCCTTTGAGATATTTTTTGTTTAAGTAAGTAATGGGTAATCTTCACCTCTGCATAAGTAGTGAGTTTCTTGTTTGCAGACCTTCCCCTCAAGTGCGAAACGAAGCCTGTCATGCAGTCTTGCCTTTAGAATAGGGTCTGAACTAGTCGGAGTTACTAACCACTTGAGTTATTGGGGAAATTGATTGAGTCTTAATCAGTTATTTACTGAAGAAACCTCAGCAGGCAGATAAAATACTCCTTTGCATTTCCTAATTCACGAAATATTTGGCACCGAATATGTGCTATGCAGTACATCTTTGTAGGGACTAAACAATGAGCTCGAAACGTGTACGAAATATGAGAATAAAAATTTATTTAGACAGTATATTATGAATACACACATAAATAAGTTATGAAAGATAATGGGATACTCAGAAATTTGGTTATAGTCCATTGCTGTAAATTGAGAATATAATCCACAAATACGGTTCACTTCTAGGTTGTGTCCACTGGAAGAATTTGTTCACCGCTGGTTGACGAGTCTCTGAACGAGATGCTCTCTTAGGTTACAAAGAATAATGCACAAGGATTAAGAGAGCAAGAATACCGCCGAAACCAGTGACAGGACAAAGTAAGGAACATCACGACTATACTTTCATTCGAACATATATATATTTATATGACATGGTAGTTGCCTAAACAGAAGTTGTGTATAATGTGTCCATTTTAAATAATTAGCAAAAACTGTACAAATTTGTTGTTAAAGACTACAAATCTTTTCTGCATTGACACAAGCCACCGGAAGAAAGGGTTACGGAAAAATTGTCCACTTTAACCTGGATGTATCCATTCGCTGGCTAATATTTAGAACAGCAATATATGATATCATAATGATTTCAGGCAGAATTTTAGCCAATCAGTGAAGCCTCATCAACAGAAATACGTGTTACGATTCTGAGCCACCTTATTAACACCCGTAGTTAAATCAATACTATGACACAAAGCAGTTAAAGTTGGTCGAGTCGTTAAGTCAATGAAGTCATAAACCGTTGGTGCAGACACAGGTTTCCTCAATGCCAGAAGTCAACAACCCTAGACTCTTTATTCACGGATACAAACCAGATACAAAGGAGCAAATGTATTCACCCCTTAATATTTTTCGGTTAATAAACATTCTCATACATAAGGTAAGGCACATGTTCATCAATGCTAGTATATCTGTAACGGTAAAAGACCAGAAACCTGGTGAATCAATGTCTATTTGGGATTTGGTATCTCTTTATGGCAAAATTATGTACACCTTATCTTCAAATCACCGTTTGCACAGACCTTCCGTGTTGTGCTACTTCCCGCCTTCATATTGTCTTTCTTGGTGTTCATTTCACGTCTCCCATGTTTCTCCGAAACGCTGAATAATTTGCTTTCTCTGACGTCAAATCTATCTTCCTGGTATTTGATGTTTTTAATGCCGATGAGCGTCTCTTTATATACTAGTGATAGCACACGCCACATATCTACTTTCTTAATCCTCGATTTCGTGAACATTTTCTACATATGACGACTTGATATGATATATATCTGTGAAAAATCCTACGTTGATTTGTTACTCAGGTACTTTCTCGATTATCACAGCGTTGACAAATTTTCTGACAAACAGTTCGATCGTAGAGGTTATGGATGAATACCTATAGAGAAACACATGAGAACGGAAGGGCGACTTAGCACGCCTTATTTGTGTTCACCAGTTATTCCGAATCTAATAAACTGTACTAAAATATTCAATAAACGAAGAAATGCATATATACCCGAACATTATACTAATTAAAAAAACACAACATTTTCTGCACTAAAAATACAATAACAATTTTAAAAAATCAGTTTTATTCAAAATATTGCATCTAAAACTCCTGAAATATACCACCTTCAGCAGCAACATCCATAATAATAATAGTAGTAGTAAGTAATAGAAATAATGTAGGCTGATACAATTGAAGGTAGCAAAATCAAAGAAAGTATTAGATACGGAAAATTGACTGAGCAGAAACTTGATCAATGCTGCTAACGTTTTTTGACCTTCTAGATGTAAGAAATTTATTGACAAATCTTTAGAGAGGAAAAAACATCACTGACAGGTAATACATACACGGCGGTGATTCTTATTAGCACAGTTAAACTATGCTTATATTAAATTATGAAAAGCATATTTTAGTGTGATAGTGTACTATTGGTTTATTGTCATTACAACTTTGAATAATGCTGTAAAGCGGAATGATATGCTTAAGAATATATATGGTGAAAGATGGAGCTCCAAACATTTCGAAATTTATGCACCCTTTTGTCGTACACACGACGCAGAGGGTAAGGGACAACAACAGCAACCAGGTAAAAAAATGAGTAAAAACAGTAACTTTTGAACAAAAAATATACCACATTCCAGTTATATAAGATAATAAAGTGAGAAAAATCATCAAGTTACTGATTATTATTATTACAGCTAAAAATTAATGGTGTAACGAGATTGAATTTATAGTTGAGACTTATTTTGTAAGGCTGTATGAACTTCTTGAACCAGACGTCGACGTTTCTCCTCTTCTGAAGCAGGTACAATAGAACGTAATGAATCGACGATATTTTTTGTAGTACCAAAGTATACTTCATTCAAAGTTGAACGAATTGAATTCTCAACATCCTGTAAATAATTTTTGAAAAAACAAGCAGTTTAGTGTTATTAATTTCTCAATAACAAAAAAGTGAACCAGTCTATTTAATGAAACATTTGCACATCTCACTTTAAACAAAGGCTTGGCATAACCAGTTTGGGTGGATTCTGTCTAACAGGTATCTCTATCATCCTTATTTTGAAAATTATATCTTGATAAAAATGCTACCTTAGTGACAAAGTTTAATTTTTCCCGGTTTATACGCCGCCTATTATGTACAAATTCGCCCACTATACTATTTTAAACCCCTATAAGTGAGAGCTAAATGTATCAATAAACCGATTTTACACAGGAAAATGAGACTGATTTTTAAGACGAAACTCAATATTTGAAAATAACAGTACTAAACTTAGAATACTGTAAGACAAAGAAATAAGTGTAACTCAATGACAATACAAAATTTACCCTGTGAATTATACGGCTGAACAAGAATAACGAAACTAATATCATTGTTTACAGGATTTTATCATGAGCTGACATTAGTTAGAGAACCATCGGAAAACCTGGGAGCACTGGACAGCTGTTTCGTCGTAATTTGGGACTCTTCATCAGTACGTACTCACCGGGATTCGAACCCAGGACCTTCTGGTTACAAGGCGAGCCCGTATACCATTAAGCCACTGGGACCCAATCCAATGGCCCATGAATTCTGACTTCTGCCAATTCACGACATAGCGCGACCCCTAACCAACACTTTAATATCATTGTTATTCAATAACATCTGATGACAGACACAGATATATTTCTGTCTGTCAATATTACAAAAATTTAAACGAAGAGTTTGAAAATATTTCACTCGACAATGTCTAATGTCGAACCAAACACGAAGATCTATAGGTGTAAACGAACAAGTCGGCAGAAGTGGCAGGGCAGTAAAGACAGGACTTGAGGTGAATATACATAAGACAGCGATGATGATATCAGTGTGGAAATCTACTACACTAAGCATAAAGAACAAGATTCAGATTTTCGACACAAATGTCAAGTCAACGTCCCTGCATGGTTTAGGGACTTGGCGCGTCACTATAGCATTTCCAACAAACTACTGAAGAATTTTATCAACAACCTGCCTCTGCCCCATACTGAAGATTAGATGACCACAAAAGATTAGCAACAAGGAACTCTCGGCAAAGGAGACCGTTGAGTGATATCGCACCAGGCCCTAGAGTGGAACTGACGAGCTGGGTGCCCAGGGATTACACGGAGGAGATGAGAACTTATGGACAACTGCTAAGCCAACTTAAGACATACTGCATACACGGTGAAATAAATGCGTGTCGCTGATACCCTATGTTCCACTAAGAACCCAAGGGGTTGATAATAATAATAATAATGTTCCAATACAAAATAAATAATAATAAATATTTTTATATTCATGTATTTTAATGGGAACAAATAACCAGTAGCAGCAGAAACCTATGAAATAGTGTGTAAAGCAATCAAGTAGAACAATTCTGAACAAATTAAAGAAACGTTCGATCTCTCATAAATTTCATAAGTCTATAACTTCAAATTGTAAAGAGTCCTTAGGTGCATTTACTCAAAACGCACTATAGAAGAGACTAGACTACATCATATGAAAGGTGACTAAAATTGAAAATCACAAACATGTGGATAACTTCAATATAAGCAGTTATACGTTGAAAGTGGTCACAGTCAGCCTTGCTGTTTATCTCTAAACTAGACGAAAAATTCTCAGCAGTTAACTAATTGATGAGAATTGCAGTGAATAAGTGTTTGTAAATTATTGAAAATCTTTAATACGATCTAAAACGCAACACCTTAATTTGAGATGAAAAAGAAGTAATGAAGCTAAATTATTTACAACTCTGATTTAAAGCATAATTAGACGGCACTTTAATATTGAAATAGATTTCAGACACTAAGAACAGTGTAAACATTTTACCAAGTGAAATTCTAACGGAAGTGTAGGACTGATTTCTATCCTCTGGTGATAGAGCCTTCAATGAAGCATTCTAATCACCATCTCTTCAGTAAGATTTAAGAGTTAGTCAGAACATCTATATATTAAGCGAAATATTATTCTACAAATTTTATATACATATATATACTGCTCACGAGATTTGGTAAGTAGTATAGTAACATAGGTATTAATATATAGTTCGTCTGCAAGGATACTGTCTAATGGAGGGAGACATTTAATGGTGAAAGGAAGAAATGAATGACTCTTATGAAACAATACAGAAAACATGAAAGGGAGACAAAAGAAGCAAAATACGGAGGACATGAATAAATGGTGATTTTAATATCAGGTAGGTGTATTTTGATGTTTTTGTACATCAAGTTCCCGACAGACAATGCCGCTACTAAGTAATACTGTGTTCTGAAATTACAGTAATATATATATATATATATATATATATGCTACCACTAAAGAAGCAATTGTCAGTCTTTCTTAGCACTGATAACTCCATGTCTACAGTTTCCCTTTCGTTTGACTATGTAATCTTTGCATTAGCCTCATTTTTTCTGCTTTCATTTGTGTACAATTAACAAGACCGGTGTGTGAAGTTTGAAGGTGAGGATTAAAATCCGAAGCAGATTGAACTCACTTTCCCAATTATTATTTAAAACTTTAACATTCAACAATGTGATGATATAATCAATAAACCGAAATTTTCATCACGTAGAACTCCATTGAGTAAACAAAATGTGGAGTTGGATCTCTCTAACAGGATGCAATATACACTGAAAAAATATTGTATTACTTGAAATGCTAATTATAGTTCATAGCTAGGTTGAAAGAGTTCGACTAACACAAAGAATCAAAGATTTAAGTGAAAGTATACAGACGACTAAACGAGAGTATCCTCTACTAATAAACATTTATAAAACTGAAGAACACAGCTTACCTCTACCATACGTCCGATATTAACGATATGAGATGTAGTTATTGGAACACCTGCATCCCCCAAAGGAAGTTCACGCTCACAAAATCTTGTTAAACTACCACCTAAGTTGAAATATCCAGCTGCTTCTCGCTGAGTTTGAAGCCATAACATGACCGTGCTTGTAAGTTTATATATGGATATTTTAGCAGACGGTCTTTCCTACAACAAAAAAAGGCGTAAAAGTGAAAGGTTGTGTGAAAAAAATCAATCTCACTAAAATAGATAAGTGAACAACGTACACACTTAAAAGACATCCTAGTTAGAAACTGTTGATGACATGGATCACAATCGTTCTCAGTGGCACAGACAAATTCCCCTTTGTGAAATACCGGATTCATTAAATCCTCATCATTCTCTGTACAATTATTCTTTCACTCGTACATTTTAGTTTACTGCAGTCTCTTTGCATTTCTTTTTTCCCCCTGTGTTTGCATGCTTTTATAAGGTGTGCAGAATTGAGCTAATTCACTTCCGTGCAAAATTCTACATTGAAAATTCAATTCCGTTTATACAGAACAGTAGGAAAGTAAAACATTTTGTAAGGAAACTGATATACTGTAGTGAATGCTACTTCTAAATACTGTATACAGTAGTGTTACCATAATTTGTATCAACGGAAAAGTCACTGTAGAAGCAATACAAAGAGGTTACAACTCTGAGGACCTAATACATGACAGCTGATGAAGTACAAAAAAATTCCTATTACAGAAAGGCTGATTTTATTCGGAAATAGTAGAATAAATATAAGTTTATGCTGACTGTAATTACCTACAACAGATCTATCCTCGCCAGTTTCGTTCTCCTCAGCGCTATGCTTCCACCTTAAAAAGTTTTAGCATTACAAATTCCCTTTTAACTCCTTTTCCGAATACAATAAAAGTGTGAAATCGAAGATCCTAATCTGTAAATAAACAAACTACTCATCGACGCAATAAGCCATTCTAGTATGCATCAAACTCTGTATAAACACAAGGCACATGTACACGATATAGCCCTCTTTGACCAATCTACTGAGAGGAAATAATTACATTCCAACTTCCATTGGAAGGGGAAAATTTCATAAAATCTAACATATGCTTTATATTTTACTAGTGGCTTGAAAACTAATACATACAACTGACTCGAACTTTTCATTTGTCCCTCCTTCTACCTACTAAGTGAAATGCAACATGCCCGATTAGGAATTGAGAACAGGTGTTTATTTGTTTCCCGTACGCATATACTTCAAAATGGAAAATCATTTTCTGAGTAACCATATGACATCAGTGAGGTGATTACAAAAACAGATATTTCTTTTTCAAAATTGCAATTGCCTAACATCTAAGTGGTTGGATGGCAGACAACAAAAGTATCACAGAGAAATGATCCACTTACTCAAGTACTTTAATAATTACACTTATTTTCTAGATGCTGATGAAATTTAGGCAGTAATGGAGAAACCAGCCTGGGGGTTTTAAACGTTTAATACCCCTATGTTATATGAATGTAAATAACTAATTATCGCCTGACTTCACATATTAAAATAACTGGAACAGTAAAACTAGGAAAGTATTAGGATCATCACAAAAAGTATACCAGTGACTAATAGTCTAAGCACAAGTGAGCGCGTTTTGATCAAGAACAATTAGTTGTGCAAGGAGGATATGAACGCTAGAATGACAATAGCTTAAAACAGTGAAAAACATATTTCACTCCAAAGCCTCAGGATGGTCGGGGGTGGGTGCCTTGCGCTGCGGGTTGGCCACCCCTCCGCACACCTCTTGAAATGCTCCCATATGACCGGGCGTCTTACATAGCCTCTCCTGAGGAAGTCCTACTCACTGCCTTCACGTGGCGGAGGTGTTTTTCACCAAAGTGAGAGGGCGAAAGCGGATGCCCGGCGCTCTTCACCGGGTTGACTGTCCATTGGATGACAGTCTAGGGGAGATGGCTAAACCCTGATTCCAAACCTCCAACGACTGGCGTATGAAGCTCACTGGAGCTCATCGGCAGACGTATGGACAAAGGGCCTGTTGGATGTCCTGGATGTCTGGCCCCATTCAAAAAGGCGTATGAACCGAACTCTGGTCACCGGCTGCCAATGGATAGTGGACTCCCTACTCCACTCCTACTGCCTTGTAGGTCACACTTGGTTGTGTAAAGGCTAGAGCTGCACTCTCAAACAAAAGGCCGAGCGATTCTGGGGACATCACTCGTACCAAGTTCCCATGAAACTTCATGAACTCTCTCCAACAACGTCGATTTCGGTGGTTTGACCATGTTCTGCGCCGACCAGATGACGATCTGGTCAAATCAGTTCTAAATCCCTCGCCATTACCATCTTGGCGATGTCGCAGGGGTGGACAGCTGAAAACATGGCTTGGTACAGTCAAGGCTGATATGGAGTGCCTGGGGCTACAAACCGTCTACGGACTCCGTCTGTGGATAACCCTGTCGCAAAACCTTGCATCAGATTGCCGCGCCTGGGCACCGATGATCCGAGATGTTCATGAAGCCGGCTCATCCTCCCGTAGGAGATAGCCGAAGTAAAGTAAGTAAGCATATTTCATAGTAAAAAAAAGGATGAATAAAACTTATGACCCTTCAATATGAGGACAGAATTCGGGCACTGTAGTAGAGGACAATCCCACTATAGAATAAGTTTTTTGATCAAAAAATACACAGTGATACAGTACTACTTTCTGAAAAAGTTTAGAGCACAATTTATTACTCATGATAGTATTAAAGCGCTCACATAACTTTCAAACTTTATTTATATAATTTCATTATTTCCTATCCTTTGATTTTATTTATTGTAATATTTTCCACATCTTTGGAATTGCCGGCGCATCAGTCCTGTTACATGTGTTAGGTGTAGATTCAAAGGACGAAGATTCAGTGATCAGTCTGTCTTTCCATCTACCAATATGGTTTTTTAGTATTGTGGCTTTGTCACACCCCCGACATAGTAAAACTGTGACAGTGTCTGCATTGTGACTGCTGAGATTTCTCAGCACACTACCTACTGTGGCGCGTACTACTGGTAAGAATTATCACTAGTATATAAAGAGACGTTCATCGGCATTAAAAACATCAAATACCAGGAAGATAGATTTGACGTCAGAGAAAGCAAATTATTCAGCGTTTCGGAGAAACATGGGAGACGTGAAAAGAACACAAAGAAAGACAATATGAAGGAAGGCGGGAAGTAGCACAACACGGAAAATCTGTGCAAACGGTGATTTGAAGATAAGGTGTACATAATTTTGCCATAAAGAGATACCAAATCCCAAATAGACATTGATTCACCAGGTTTCTGGTCTTCAACCATTACACTACTACTACTATCATAGAGCTGTATTGCCATATCATGCTAATATTATGGAGCTATGGTGCTCAACTTCCAACCAGTAGGTGGTCATGAGTTCGAGGTCTGAGCAGCCCCGGGTAGTATACCCAGCCTTCACACAATACTTGTGGCTCATCACCAAATGCATAGAATTGCAAGCGGTTGTTGAGTAGCTACTCACTGGGTTTGTTGAAATCTTTCAACACTTGAATACAGTAGGTAAATAAAAAGCGAGTGTTTCTATTACTACTTTTCATAAACTCAGTCAACTAATGCGATTTTATTAGATTTTTTCTCAATCAAAACACCAATGCCTCACTTCACTAACCAATCTGTTTAGTAATTTCACAACAGAAAATACTTATGCAACAGACATAAATTACAATCGATAATCACTGAGAAATTGTGACCAACAATATCAAAATGATAGGAAGCACAGACGATAGATGGTAAGAGTTCCAATAGCCTACGGAGAAAAACGATTCTATATTTCCATGCAAACATATACAAAACCTGGTACTCAAGAGAATCAGCGATTAACAAACATATTAATTTTAGACCAAATTTATCAACTAACAGAAAGTAAATCACGTGACGAGAAAGTTCAAAATCCAAGTCAATAAAAAATGATCAATACAGATGTAAATCGACTACCAGTCAGGAAGATGGTTGCCAGGAGACACAATTCTATCATTCATGGGGAATTTAAATCAGTTCATTTTATGCTAAAACTTGCTCTGTCCAGAAGGACGACGAAAGCTCCGCAATTAAACCAACCAGCTCAGCGAACACAACTAATCGCAAAGTGAAAAATGTTCAAAAAATTATTCCTAACGATTATTTCAGAACAGAAGCAACAATACTACAATGGTGTAACAGTAGATAAGAATATTATAGATGTCACAAACATACAATTAAATTGACGAATAGAGACTTAGGGATGATGATTAGTTCTAGAGGAAATGATATGTAACGCGACTGTGTACCAGTTTTATTTTACTCTCCAAGATCAAAATAAAACTAATAAGACAAATACTGGCAATCACTTTCTGTTATGTATGAAAAAGTATGACTACTTATCTGAAATATAAGTACTATAGTTAAGTTAGCCAGTGAATATTTTCATTACAAAATAAGAAGTGACATAATTCCATGAAAGAATATTCTTTCTCCACTTATCAGTGTTTTCACACTCATAATGGATATATCTTTAATCAAATATAATTTTACATATATATATTACAAACTTACGACGACATCAATGACATGAATTGAATCCCAACAACCACTGGCTAGTTTGGCATCACCAGCTTTTTTGATCAGGATAACCCCAGCAAATCCATGATCCATATCCCATAGATAAACTGAAGATATTCCACCTTCGTAATACCTAAATTTCAAAAGTGGAAACAAGGTTTAACAAGAATACTAACATGGGTACAGCACTTCAAAAATAGTTATTTTTTGGTACATACTGCAATGAAAATAAGGGGAGAAAAATTCCTTGCACTTATCGTAGAGGAAAGCCTGTTAACCCACATGTATAGATTTAGATATACATCTGGTAAAATCATAAAGCTTAATATTCATTACGATTATCGAATTCTGAGAAGTTACATTTACTCTCTATTGGGTTTTCCTTTAATAGATCAGTACTCATAAGCCCTTATATGATCAATATTTCAATCTTACCAATTAGTATCGTTGAAAAAATTTGCCACAATACACCAGTGAAAAAAGCGATTCTTTTCAACTAAAGCCATTAGGAAGGATGTTGTGGTGTACGGCATTAATGTTCAGATTTATCAAAGAAACGAAAGAGTCCTAAGACTCCATTAGCCAAAACTTCGGAAAAGGTCCAGTGATTATGCACCCCTCTCACGCTATATATATATATATATATATATGCATATGAAAGACGAAATCCTTACTGAGAGATCAGTTAGTCCTCTGTTCATACATGACGTCTTGCATAAGCCTTGAATTAAAGTCCTGAAATAGAAAAGAACATCTGCCCTTTGGTTTTAATGGTTTATATAGCTGATATTGGTTCGTAATGAAGGTTGCTACGATATAAACACTAACTCACATAATTGGGAGCAAAATATACCTCAGTATAGGTCTGATATGAGACACGATTCACCTAAATATAACCAAAGATGTATCATGGAAATGAATGAAGGAAGAATTTTTGATAGTCCATAGTGATTGTCCACATATTACATCTTAATTACACAACTTCATAATGTAGTATGTCGAATGAGTTAGAGAATCTCCCGAAAATTCACTGTGTTGACGAATACGCAAATTAAAATGAATGCAAATAGAATATGGAGCCGTAAACACTTGGGTTTTTCATAAAAATGTACTTGGAAGAACTCTGCGAAGGTTATTAAAGTGTAGCACGAAATTCCGCATAATCTTCTCATAAAAAAAGTAAGACACGTGCTAAGGTTTGAAATTTTTTTAACAATAGCATTAAATATCAGAATAAATCTGACTTATTGATATAAAATAAACTAAAAAAGTACTTGACGCATTTTTTATAAAGTACACAAAAGAATCATTAATTAACATAATTAATAAGAAACAACAATATTTCAGAAGCCACACTAATACACAAAGATGAAATCATAAACATAAAGTTGTTCTATAGGATCATTCAAATGAAATTGCTAAAATTTGTGATATTTTGAATAAGAGCTTAATCCTACCCTTAAGATATTCGCCGATAATTCCAGTAGGACTGAAGGCGAGTAGTGTTACATAGGGTACATTAACCACACAGAACAAGTGAACATTGTCTCATACCAATCACACTTATGAGCTCAAGTTAATACCTCAAGGTTATGCATTCTTGCTGGTTACACAGGCACTTGTAGGATCGCTTTCTTACAATAACCCAGTAATCATTACAGTTAACATTTCAGACATATTACATTTTAAAATTCATATCACACAACTTCTAATGCATAGGGTAGAATTCTCACTGTGGCTTAAACAAAGTTAATATACATAAAAAGATCATACATGATATAAAAAAGGTTTTAACTCTGTAAATAGAATAATTTAATTACGAAAGCCCCACAATTTGTTAGTCTGTTATTACCTACACCTTATGAACAAATAACAAGCTGCATATTTGTATACTGAGATTCCAAACACATCTGTCTTAATCGTATTAAAACTCTTATCCACTTCCCTAAAATAAATCATGTGATATTATTCTTAATCAGTAATCCGGTGGTGTGCGCATATCTCCCACACAGTTTAGCTGTGTAGCCTCACTCCAGCACTGCAATTACTCTGTTCTCAAGTATTTTAAATCTTTCCACCCTAAATTCTTCGGATTCTGTAGCGAGTGGAAATATAGAGAATAGTTAAACTTCTTCCTGGCAGCGACATACCGACTTTAACCTCGCCTAGATTACTAGGTCACTAGTATTCTAGCCGGTCCCAAGCCCGGATAAAGAGGGAGGGTTGGGGCGTGGTGCTAGCAACTCCACCCCCAAAACTTAACCAAATTGCTACTAAAACTTCAACGCACAAATATATTCAAAATTCTAAAATTACAAATAGTGACCTTATTTTTCGCTGGAATCGGGGAAGTGAAATGACGCGGGCTGGTGAAAGCCTTCGGGAAGCCAGTCAGCCGATGTGCCTTCTTTCGATGAAAGCGAAAATAAGGATGGGGACGTGGAATGTTCGTACAATGTACGAAGCTGGGAAGGCTGCTCAGGTAGCCGCAGAAATGAGGAGATATAAAATAGAAGTGTTGGGAATCTGCGAGAGCAGATGGAACGGATGTGGAAGGAGCCAACTATCAACTGGAGAGACAATAATCTACTCCGGTAACCCAGAGGACAATCACGAGCACACCGAGGGAGTGGCCATCATGATGTCACCAACAGCAGCTAAAGCTCTCATGCAGTGGGAACCAATCTCCTCCAGGATAATGACAGCCAGGTTCAACTCAAAAGGAAGGAAGGTTACAATCATTCAATGCTACGCGCCTACAAACGTCTCAGAAAAAGAGAAGAAGGAGGATTTCTACAGTCAACTACAAACAGTAATGGACAACGTCCCAAAGAGCGATATCAAAATCCTGATGGGCGACATGAATGCGAAACTGGGAGGAGACAATACAGGAAGAGAACTCACCATGGGTCGTGAGGCCCTCGGTGAAATGAACGAAAATGGTGAACTCTTCTCAGACTTCTGTGCCTTCAATGATTTGGTGATTGGTGGCAGTGTGTTCAAACACAGGGATATACACAAGGCAACATGGATTTCACCAGATGGACACACCAAAAACCAGATAGACTTCATTTCAATCTCAAGGAAGTGGAGACGGAGTCTACTGGACACAAGATCGAGGAGAGGAGCAGATGTGGGTTCAGACCACTATCTAGTACAAGGGACTTTCAGGGTGAAGCTGAAAACCTCGAGAATACCTGGGGATAGGCCACAATGCAAGTTCAACACTCACAAACTGAAGGACACAATCACACAGGACATTTTCACTGCAACTGTCAGAGCAAAGCAGGAAACACTACGTGGCACCACTGAGGAATCATCCGTGGAAGACCATTGGAACTCTCTGAAGGTAATTTTCAACGAAACGTGCTCAACGGTTTTAGGAAGAAAGAAGAAACAAGACAAGGAATGGCTCTCAACAGACACTTGGAAACTAATAGAGGAGAGGAGAAAGGTGAAAGAAAAAATGATTCAATGCAAAGATGGACAAGAGAAAGAGACGCTGAACTCAACTTACACAGCACTGGACAAAGAAGTGAAGAAGAGTGCCAGGAAGGACAAAAGACAATTCTACGACAACCTGGCCACTGAAGCTGAGAAGGCAGCAGGCAAAAGGGACCTGAGGACACTATATCAGATAACCAAGTCTCTATCCGGGAAGAGATCAACACAAGTGAAACCTATAAAAGACAGCCAAGGGAACCCAATTACCAAAGAAGAAAGACAGATTAAACAATGGGCGGACCACTTCAAAGGACTCTTGAACCGACCACCACCTACAACCCGTCCAGTAATACCAACAACAGCACGTACACAACTGCAAGTTGACACCAATCCTCCAACGAAAACTGAAGTCATGAATGCAATCAAGCTTCTGAAAGCTGGAAAAGCAGCTGGACCAGATGGAATACCCCCGGAAGCACTGAAAGCGGACCCAGAAACGACGGCAGATATGCTGACTCCATTATTGCAAAAGATCTGGAAAGAGGGAAAAGTGCCTACTGACTGGAGGAAAGGTTACTTGGTGAAACTACCAAAGAAGGGCGACCTGGGACTCTGCAAGAACTGGCGAGGAATCATGCTCCTGTCGACACCAAGTAAAATCCTGAGTCGCATCATCCTGGAGAGAATCAAGGACGCGCTGGATACAGAACTCCGACCAGAACAAGCTGGATTCAGGAAAGGCAAATCATGTTCTGACCAAATTGCAACTATACGCATTATCATCGAACAAAGCATGGAATGGCAATCAAACCTCTACCTCAACTTCATAGACTTTGAGAAGGCCTTCGACAGCGTTGACCGCGAAGTAATTTGGAAACTACTCGAGTACTACGCCGTACCCCAAATATTCATCAACCTTATTCAACAACTGTACGACAACGGTACATGTCAAGTGATCCACAACGGAAAACTCAGCGAAGCGTTTGGAGTAAACACAGGAGTCAGACAAGGGTGCTTATTATCACCAATGATATTCCTAATTGTGGTGGACTGGGTTATGCGTCAGACAGTGGGAAACGAGAAGACAGGGATATCCTGGACCGACGTGAAGAACCTAGAAGACCTGGATTTCGCCCTTGGATGATTTATGTTTGATGTCACACAAAATCGAAGACTTACAAGCAAAAACCGACAAACTGGTCGAAGAAGCAGCAAAGACAGGACTCCAGGTGAACATAGACAAGACGGAGGTTATGAAAATAACCAACCAACAACAGCAGCAACATCCAGTGCCAATCACCATCAACGGGAGGGATTTGAAAGAGGTTACTTCTTTCACTTATCTGGGGAGCATTGTCTCAACCACAGGAGGAACGGACGAGGATGTCAAATCGAGAATCGGGAAGGCGAGAAACACATTCATCAACCTGAAACCAATCTGGAAATCTTCGTCACTCACCATCAACAACAAAATTCGGATTTTCAATACAAACGTGAAGTCAATTTTGCTTTACGGATCAGAAACTTGGCGAGTCACCAAGAATATTTTCAACAGGTTGCAGACCTTTATCAACAACTGTCTT